CCGCGGTGGTCCACTTTACTCCAGTGACCCGGGTGCTGCTACGGGGTCCACTTTCTGCCCCGCCTCCTCCTCCCCCCCTTTCTCTCTCCCCCCCTACGGCCGAGGCCTATATAACCTCGTGCCACGGCAGATCTCTCGCCTAATTCAGCAGTTTTTTCTTGCTGTGGTTGTCCTACCTGATGACGATTGCTTGTGTTGCGATCGAAATGTCGTGATCTATTATTTTTCTACCTACGTGACTTTACCGAAAGAACCAAAGAGTATGGATTCCTGCAGTCACGAAAGCTTCAAATCAAGATTAGTCCCAGGAATTTCAAGTCAAAGGCAGAATTTTCAATGCACCATTCGTTTTGCCTCCTGATGCATGCTCGCCAATCAATACACAGCAGAGGATTATAGAAGTAAAATATAGACGAATTAAAATACATGGTTATAATTCAAATCACACCTCTTTGTGTCGAATGGCATTGGTAAAGACGTTCCTTCATTGTTTGTGTATTCAAAATCAATCATATCCCACTTTTTTCCTTTTGCAGGGGTAAAAGCGGTGGTGCGGTGCCTGGTGCACTCTAAACCCGGTGTCTTGATTTTGGTTCTTAGCCGCAGCGGCGGATGATATCCAAAACAGTTCTGAGCTGCCTCCATTACCACTGACCAGATACGGGGAAACCTTCATCTAGCAGAGGATTGAGAGAAGGCTGTTTATTATATTTATTATTATATATCCCACTTTTACCCGCAAGCATTTTGGCTCCAAGTTAACCTGTGAGCGACAAATGCAACAGTACTATTTTCAATGAGGGGGGTGCTCATAAGGGCTCTCTTAAGGCCACAACAACCACAAGACACTACTTCAGCCTTTACGACCTAGAGCATAAATCCACCACGCTACCAGTTGCAGCAGAACAAAAATAAATGCAAAGCCACAATCATTGGCTTCCTGCACGTGCGTCAATGGGCGAGTTGAGACTTTCAAACTTACTGCACAATGACGTGCCAATGTAGTGTTACTGGCAACAGAGTATTCGAAGCCAGGATCTTGCACTAACAGAAAATTCCTTGTGATACCCAGTGATCTCAAAAAAATACTCGACAACAAGATGAGCAGAGGAGAGATGTAGCTACAGAATCGAGGCACTTCTGAAAGGCCAAGCCACTTTTAGGTCTATACGACTGTAAGTAGCTGCACTTGATGGCAGCAGCATTTATCTAGCATATTATTCAGAATAGTTGACAATTCAGATGAAGATTATAGTGGTCATGGGAATGAAAATGAAAGTGGCCCGGTGAAATGGAATCGCTGTTAATGAATACAATTTATTCACAGAAAAAAGGCACATTTGTTCAATTACTTCTTTTTGGTGTTTTTTCTAACACATAAAACTTTTTTTCATCTCTTCTCCACATTGGACCGTGAAAAATCCACTTACAGAGGTTAGGATGCTAATACTAAACTAATCTTCTCATCCCTACAATTGAGTCTCCAAATTGGTGGGGGTTTAATGGATTTCCATAATGAGCAGTTGTAGCTGTACGGCTTGTCGTGTGGGTGGCAGGGTGGCGTGGCGCAGTGGTAACACTTGTGCCTCAGAGTAAGAAGTACCTGGGTTCGATGTATGACTTTGGTGGCTTTCTGTGTGAAGTTTGCCTGTTCTTCCCCCTGTCCTGCATAGATTTCCTCCAGTTTCTCTGGTTTCTTTCTGTCGCGAAATTACATCCCAACGCTGTAAAATGACCTACAAATTACTCAGTTGGAATTACACGAAGCAACAACGCCCCCTTACTGCGACAACTTGGCAAGACTCTCCTGAAAAAAAGTATTAAGACTGGCGGAAACTTTCCTGGGTAAATCAGCACACATACTCATAATTATCGTTGGAAAGCTTACCAAAGAAATGCAGCATATCAATGCAATTTTATGAGAACATAACCTTTGTGATCTATTATTGTTATTAGCATTGATATGTGGATGTTGCCGTGGTGTAAAGGTTGGCAAGTTGGGCTTGCAATTCAGAACTGGACTGTTCGATTTCCCAGTGCGTCAGTTGAAACAAATTGGAAAGGTTTCATTAATTTGTTTATTCCCTCACCTGTCTCCACCCAGCAGTGTACATGGATAGACCACAGTGAGTGGATCGGTAGGTTGCACCTGGTGGGGTAAAGTGTGGGTACTCCCACCCCTTCTAGCGAGCGTGGAAGAGTCGATCATATACCCTCAAGAGGCGCTGTCTAGACCTCCCTCGTGTGGAAGTCCTTCTGCGGGAAGATTTAAGAAAATATCCCATTGCTTCAACTGCCACGCCTGGGGAGATTGAACCGTGTGAACTCTGGCTTGCTAACCGTTGCACAGCAGCAGCAGCAGCAGCATCCAGCACAGCAATGCAGTAATCCCATTGTAACAGTGGTTCTTAACCTTCATTTGCAGCCTGCACCCCTTTGGTTCTTAATCGTTAAAACATGCGTAAAGATAAATTTTGATTTAAAGCTTCCGTGACTGCAGGGATTCATGTTCTTGGTTCTTTCGGTAAAGTCACGTAGAAGAGAAACAATAAAATAATAATAAAAAATATAAAACAATAACATTCTCACGACGTTTCGACTGCAACACAAGCAACCATCATCAGGTGTGAAAACCACAACAAGAAAATGTATTTATTTCGGTAAAGTCACGTAGAAGGGAAACAATAAAATTCTCACGACGTTTCGACTGCAACACAAGCAATCATCATCAGGTGTGAAAACCACAACAAGAAAATAAATACATTTTCTTGTTGTGTCGAAACGTCGTGAGAATTTTATTGTTTTATTATTATTTTTATTATTTTATTGTTTCCCTTCTACGTGACTTTACCAAAAGAACCAAGACTATGTGTAAAGATAGTGCGTCAAACTAAGGGACAAGCGGTGACAATAGGAAAGGGAGAGAACAAGGGAAGGATTGCAAGTTCCAGAAAGGTTCGGGAACTTGCCAGAGAGTTCGAGAAGGAAAGGCAGGACCAAGGGCGAGGTGAGGTTCACGCCGAGGATAAAAGGGGGGTGAGGAACGAAGTTCAGGGCTGGATTTGGGGCCGTCGCTGGTTGATCATCGTCGTTGCTGCTGTCTCGTCGCTATCGCTTGCTATATTGTGACGCCGGGGTCCTAAGCCCGTGTTAAAAGTTAAATAAAATAATCCTCTACAGATCGAGTCCGAAGTCATTACACATGTATACTGTGAATAAATACATAGATTTGATGAAACAAAGTAGTTGTACTTAGGTACCCGTGCTTTATTTGTGTCTTCGAAAAAAATCTGACCATGTCTCACACCCCCAGAAAGAGCATCTCGCATCCGCAGGGGGTGCATGCACCCCAGATTAAGAACCACTACATTACTATATATCGCCTGAGGTCTACACGTCGTCACCTGACATCTGCTAGGCATGGTGATCTGCGTGTTGCCAAAGCAAAACAAAAACGATGTTTGGCGTTGCCTGGAAAGAGTCCTTGCTACTGTGGGCGTGCAAACTGTTGGAGTCACTGCCATCGTTCAAAAAACACTCACTCAAACCCCCGTTCAATAGCTAAGAGTGACAACTAGATGTATTTCTCGCTGCAATGGGTCCATGATGAATGTTTGTGTTGGTTGTTCAGCAACCCTTGTAATAGCTTGCCTTGTGATGGGGCTATCGAAATTGTCATTTTCTATGATGTACAGCAAATATATAGTCAAACGAAACAGCATCATTATTAAGCCAGGTTTCATGTTTTACATTCACTCGAAATGGACATTTCTTGATCACAAATTGTAGTGGGCATATTTTGTGCTCAAAAAATAAATTCCAGCATCGCAGCTGCATATTAACCTGCTCACAGTCATACACCTTCGTAAATCAGCTGATTACAACCATATTCACACAGATGAAATTCCAGATTCTTGCCTATGGCCTGATTTAACATCCACAAAAATGTAACTTTTCTTTTTTACAACTCCAGCCAAGCAAAGAAGTCACGCCAAGGGTCACAAATCTGCCTTGCGCATAGCTGTGGATACGTCAATGACTACACGTGGATTCTAAGATGTTGGGAAATTTAAATCACTGGCTGTCGGTTCGATGAAACACGCAGAACGAATACAATCTTGGTTGTTATTCATTATATATAATAAAATGCACTGAACAAACACTGCAGGTCACCATTGCGGATAACGACTCTGAATCATAAGTGCCGCATCGAAAGGTGATAATCGCTTATAAATTATTCATATCAATACCGTGTGCACGAACACAAACGAAAGCAAACCGTGTGATATATGCCAATGGTATTACATGCACCACTGCTTAGCATACTGGTGCATCGGTTTCTAAGTGGATATATTTTTTATGAGAGCCTTGTTGCATGTAAAACAATTGCAAGAAATACTGCATTCCATTCTAAAACTCTGAACACACCACGCATTATATCTTAAACCAGGAATTGCATCTTCTTTTTCTTAGCCAAAAGTCACATCATTGCACGATGTTGTCTACGAGGATTTTAACAACTACTTAGATTCTGTGCTGTATAGAAAAAATCCTCCTCAACCCACCCTGCTTATCCTTCACGTAAACTACTTGAAGACTGTACTTTTTTTTAATGTACCTTTCGAGTGCCTCCTCAACCGGGGACTTGAGGTAGCAGATAATGAAAAGTTCTACAGGGTGGCCAAAAAGTCCCTTTGCAACACGGATCCTGCAAGGAATATGGGGCCTCCACCGCATTATGCCCTTCGAATTCGGGAATATTTGAATCAGGAATTGAGTGAACGATGGATTGAGAGAGGATCTGAATTGATGTGGCCACCTCGAGGCACAAACCTGACAACTGCTTTGCACGGTTGGTTACATATGGTGCAAAAGAAGTTCAACATACATACATACATGATTCCCTTTGGGGGAATTATAACGGAGAATCCTTCACACTTCTTACTATTGACACATACTGTGGGACTCAAAACCACTGTCCGTAACTGCTTGTATAGTACCACAGCCATCATCCGCTTGGAAGAATCCGTCCAGGAGAACTGGGGCATGGATCCAGCTGTGTGCTGGGAGTGGAGGAGGGCGGCACACGAAGCTCCTCGAATACAGTTGCATCGTCTTATTTTGCCATGCAAAGGGACTTTGTGGCCACTCTGTAAATGCGTCACGCAGAAAAACATGACAATCCAACGCTGCATCTTGCAATAACAGATAGAACGCCAAGACAAATTAAAATTCAAAGTAAATTCACCGCTGGCTTCCCTGACGAGGAGAAAGGCACCTCTCCTGTGCAGAATAATTTCTACAACTCCTGCAGGAGATAAACACGGTAAAACATACACGAGGAGCAGTGGACATACGACCCTCGTTCATAGTGCTGAACTAGAAGATTCAACACATTCATTCACAAGCAGACTGGAGAGGCAAGAACCAAACATCTTGACATTTCAAAATTAACCTGAACACCTGGCCAAATTGGAGAGAGAGCATGAGAGATGCCCTCACGGAGATTGCAGGAAGTGCTACACAACCTGGAGACAAAAAAAGAAAAACAGAGAGACAATCAGTGGACACCTTACAGATTCTATGAAAGCATGGAAGGCACTAAAAATGATGGAGCTCTTCAGAGGAAGAACGGCTGTAATTTTTCCTCTACCCAAAGGAAAGTAATGGGGAACCTGTAAACTCAAAGTCTGACAGGGCTCTTTCGAGAATAAAGTATCAAAAAGATGCAATTTGAGCCATGTGAGACATCTCCGCCGCCCCCCTTTTCTCTCCCAGACACTTCACGCTTCAACTCTCATAACCCCCCTCCCTTCCGTCACAATATCTTGACGGACCATCGGCCAAATATGTAACGCACATTTTACATTAATTAGATTTTGGGAAATTTTTTACGTATTTTTTTAAATCTAGAGGCCTTCCTAAACCTCGTACGATCAAAATCAATTATGTTGCAATTTGTCCATGAGTCAAGCCTCTATTTTGAGTATAATTTTTGGATCACTGGCAGACTGGGGTATGCATGTATATACAATATTTTGAACTTCTTTCGCACTATACGTAGCCAACCGCGTTAATCGTAGGTCCAGGGAAGGACAACAAACTAGTACAACCAAAGCTAGATCGATACTGGATGTGGTGCGCCGGGTGCAGAATAGTTCCCGGATCGACCTGGACCGAGCCAGCTGAAATTAATCCCTGATTATGAGCCGTAAATAATATTTAGACAAACGCTTTTAAAGCAATGGGACAATGTGATACAGAGAATAGAGCAACCCAAACGTACAGTGGGTAAGTTGATTCCGCTGGGGTGATAGATGCCTTACGGAGGAGTGTCCGGGTCATCAGTCATCATCTAAATGTTATTCGTTTCAATAACATAATCTTCATCACTATCCATCATCGTCAATGTCACTATTAACCAGCGCAATACAATTTGGATTGTCATAGGTTTCAAATGCGACCTCATCTCCCTGACGCTGTACAGAAACAGTGAGCATGTTTTATTGATGAACTAGCTTATATACCTGGCGTTGCCCGGGCCAAAAAAATATTACAAAACTACTCTTAAAAATTTAACAGCAGTGCGTACTGACTGTGGTGGTACCTGCTATGATTACAGCAGTGCATACAGACTGTGGTGGTACCTGCTATCACTACATGCTGACCCTATAGCAGTATTTATCGACTAACACACACACACAGCGACTTACACACACACACATGGACTGACACGCACACTTGGACTTACACACACACACACATATATATTGACATACACACGCGCACACATCTGGCATTGCCCGGGCAAAAAAGACACAGACATACATCGACTAACACACACACACAAAGACCTAAACGCACAAACACATCGACTCACACACACACACATCGACTTACACACACACATCGACTTACACAGCAATCCCCGATGATGCCACAGCTCGAGTAATTTTCTCTCTCTGGCGAGCCTTAGCCAGTACTGGCAGGTGCATCAAGGTAAAAAAAAATTACTCAATTTGTAGTGTCAATGTCTTCCAAGATTTTCGTGTAGGCTTCTATTTGTGCATCCATCAGCTTCGGTTACTTTTCCTAAGTAAATTTAAGAAGCTCTAAAGCATAATATCATATTTCACGTAGGATCTCTTGAGCAAGGGGATGCAGGTTGTCCCTGTAGGGTGTCGGCAGTCCTGTAGTGTTTATAATGACGAATAAACTTCTTATGAGGCACACTCTGTTTATTATCTTTCTTCTCTTACACAGCCCTTAACACACAAAGGGGTATACAGTCCCCTCACCCGATACCCTAAGAAGGTACAGCCTCCGGACTTAGCGGGACCTACACACAGGTCTCTTGCTAACCTAAGGAGGTACAGCCTCCTGTCCTTGGCGGGACTTACTCTTGAGTCTACCGCTATCCTAGAGTCCTCCGGCTTGGACCTAGGGGAGGTTATCTGACCCACCGCTGGTCTGGTGGGTCTTGACCACTGGATACGCCGAGCCTTAGCCCTCAGAAGGGCTGGAAGGCTGGGTCCAGGGTCCTGGCTATCTTCAGCCTGGGCTTCGGTCTTCGTGTAGGGAGAGAACTCCCCGCGCTCTGCACGCTCACCCTTCTTATACCCGTTTGTGGCCAGGTCTAACCAATCCCACATTCCCACGTGGAACTGTCTGATTGGTTCTTATCAAACTGTGGCTACGATCCACTTCACCTCATCTGACCCCAACCGTTATTCACACAGAGGTAACGCTGCACTGCCCCTTTGATACCTAGTGGCAATGCAGGTTCCCGAACAGTGAGTAGTTAGCACCTCTACAGTCCCATAGACGTGAGGTATTTTCCAGCAATGGAGTACAGTTTGTCCTGAAGGAGGATGGGGTCTGTTTGAAGATGACATCAAAAAAGTTGACTTAGAGGTTTGTGTTTTGTCATTGAGCTCCGTGGAGAATGTCCTCACTCATGCCCTCTTTGTATTTTTGCCAGAGTCCCATGGGGTTAGATGGGTTGCAAACTTGAATATTTATGCAGAAGAGCAATGTCAGTTGGAAAGGGGACTGACCAATAGAAGCTTCTGTCATAGCTTCATGAAGATGGTGATCATGTGCAAGATTTGCACGAAGATTGCAAGCTTCCCTGTATGTTTGACAGACAACTCCTTTCACTATATTCTTGGTTCTTTCGGTAAAGTCACGTAGAAGGGGAACAATAAAATAATAAAAATATAAAACAATAAAATTCTCACGACGTTTCGACTGCAACACAAGCAATCATCATCAGGTGTAAAAACCACAGCAAGAAAATTATTTTATTGTTTCCCTTCTACGTGACTTTACCGAAAGAATCAAGAATATGAATCCCTGCAGTCACGAAAGCTTTAAATCAAAATTTAACTCCTTCCACTGTTTAGAGGTCTTTGAAAGATTTGTGCCCTTTGGCAACATGGAGAAGCATTGGAAGAAAGTATCACTGCGGATTGTTGGGATTAACAGTGTAGACTCGTCCTACGGCATCAGATTCACCGTCAGCAGCACGTCGCTTCCATTTTTTTAGCAGTCCATGTATAGTAGGAGGGAACTTAATGGTAGAGCAGGTGGGCAGCAAATGGCTCACGTGAGCACAAAACAAAGAACGCCATAAGGGTGGTATCTTGTGGAGCCAAGGCCTGTTGTTGGGCATTTCCTTTGGTGACGTAGATGCGTTGACCATTTTGGAGGTGAAGTGCCAAATGGACAACTGTGGGGGAACGGTCATGGATGGGGAAGCCAAGAATTCTGCAAATGGCCTCATTTTCGCTGATGTATGTTCCTTGGAAAAAAAGTTTGAGCTCATGCACACTTTGCCCCTCTGTTTTGTAAGGCAAAGACAGCCATGTCAGAGCCTTTGTTGATGAATTGGCAAACATATTTGATGGTTTTTTTTTAGAATAGCAGACTTTCACTTTGAAGTGGGCCTGGAAGATATTGCACAGAAGAGGGCAGTAGGGAATTATCCAACCGGTTGTGAAGCTTAATTAACGAGTTAGTGGCAGGTCTGAGCGTTGTTTGAAATCGACCATGCTCAGTATTCCTGTGACGATATAGAGGATAGCCATCATGGGCCGACTGAGTGTCTTTCAAGTAGTTCCGTGGATACCTCTTGGTACACCTGTGGTCTTGCATACATGGCACATTTGGATAGAACTGGCCACATGGGCCATGGATCATTTGGTTGCAGGCCACTTAGAAAAAGGGCAGGGTCTTGATGGGAGTGAGGTAGTTCAGCACTGATAAATGTGTCAATGTGACCTGCATGAATTGTTTCCCTCATCCATAGCGAAATGTGAGCATGAGGAAGACAACGTTTTTGCCACCCAATGGTGTGCAAGTTACAACTTGTCTATCCAAAGACGCCGCCTTCGTTGGTCGTAATAACCATCATCAGGTCATAAACTTTGAGTTTTAAGACCCTCGCTAATATGTCATGTCTGTCTGGTGGCATTTGGTTTGGATAAAGGTAAACCTGGATCTCCTTTCATTTGGGATTGCAAGTGAAGGTGATGAAGAGATGGGGTGTGGCATATTGGCTGATGTAGGTCATGGCATCCTGAGTCTTCTCATGCATGTATCTTGGTGGAGCTGTGAAGGATGAAGGTAAAATACCTAATCAGCCTGCATTGTGACCGTTTGCATCTCCTTCGGCATTGATGGCGTCCCAGAGATGAGCATACTGTTCACACGCAGGCGGTTTTGATTCAGTTGAATGTAAAGAAGGCACTCACTCTCAATGTTGGCATACTCATCGACAACATACTGGTGAAAGAGGTTGGCGCACCATAATATGTAGTTTCCTCCTCTGTCCATGATCATGAAGGGATAAAAGTATTTATAGAGGAGAGTTTTGTGAGGATGTCTTTGTCCTGCAGCTTTGTAATTGGAGGAATGTTGAGGTGGTACCCATCTTGGCCTTGCGACAGGAAAATGTGTTATTGTAGGACATCGTATGCTCTGTTAGTGTCAGGAAATCGTGCGATGGTGTTTTCTTGGTTTGGAAGAACAATGTATCTCTCACAATGTTCCTCACCCACCGTAAGAAAGCAAGGTCAACAGTATTTGGGGCATCATTAGACCTCCTTTGCCAGTACCAAAATATAATAATAGGGTTTTTCCCCTTTTG